AAATAAGTTTTATTTCACACTTACAAAAACATTTAATAGGAATGAATAAGTCCATTTTGGATAGACCCATCAAAAGCATTGTAATTGAAGCATGAGTCATGAATAACTAATGCAGACATTTTGGTGTGGAACAGAAATGCAGATTTCCTGGTCTCAAATTCCAAAGATATGTCGACAGTTGAAAGTTGGAGATGATCAGGCTGATGACTGCAATCAATAACGAAAAGCGGATTGTCATTAAATTCTTTAATATCCATCATAGGTTCAGGAATGTTTCGGTTGTAGTATGTTTTTTGAAAGTTCTCAAATGCATAATAAGCTGCGGTGTTGAGCTTTTTTTCGAAATTCAAGTTCCACTTTTCATATGGGAATACTTGGTTGTTCAACTACAAGCGAATCGAGTTAAAGTTGGCATTTATGAATTTCGTTGTATCCATCGAACGATTTTCTTCAACTGTAGAATCTTGAAATCCAATGATAACGAATAGAGGTCTCTCTAGTTTACTGGTTGTTCTAATTGCCCAAACATCCGATGATGTAGAACGAAGAGATGGAAGCTCATAGAGATCCCAAGATCGAAATGCTTTGCAGAAGCTTGACTTTGTAACGATCTTCCGAAACGACGTATTGAACCTTCCATTCAATCTTGGATATAGTCAATTCAGCATCACATTCACCCACATAACAGTTTTTGAAGGATCTTGCAATAACCAACAGAAGCTCATTTTTTATATTAAGAACCCCTTTTTGTAGTCTTCTGCGAATCCCATTATATGTTTTAGGGGTATCCTACCACTAAGAACTTTGCTTTTGACATCCCATATAGCCGAGTTCTCGGCACTTAAGCTCCAACCACTACATACAAGTGTATGCATAGCACTTTTACCATGTGACACCATCGTTTTTATAGTTGAAGTTATCCCTGGATTCCGAACTCCATAAACTTTTTCGCCACCCGTCTGCAGGGAAATTTCTTGAAATAAAAAGCCCAATGCATTGTTTGATAGGTAGCAGGGTTTCGTAGTGTCGCTAGGCGTGAATGTTCCTTCGACGTAGATATAACTGTCAGCAATGTTTAAAATAAGATCTTGGAAGTTTATAGGGATATCAACTATATCTGAATTCTTGAACTAAGGCGATCCATATGGTTTGTATGTGTATTCTTGTAGGCTGGCTAAGGAATGATCTATGATGGGTTCCCCAAAAACATCCAATTTCTCATTTAATACGTGTAGAACCATATTGTTTGATTAGTTTCAGCCCTATAGACTCCAGGAACTTGCAATTTTGCAGCGAAATATTCGATGCTGTGTCTTTGACGATGGTTGAACGACGATTAACAGAATTTCCATTGGTTCTTCGTCTTTTATGATTAGTTGTGACCTTTTTCTACATTCTTCAAATGATATATATCTAGGTTACATATAAATCCCATTATCTTCAGCTGGCACTAGACAGGCGTCGCAGTTCTAATTTGACTATAATTTTTTCACCACGGAAATTGACCAAATTCCCGACGATATCCAAAATTTCCAGTGTGATGTTATCAATAAACTGGTGTCCACGCGGCTTAACGCTCATATATATTACATTCTTAGGCTCCTTTGTTAATTTAAACCCCGGTTCAACGTCTATATCAAACTCATACAAAGTGTGCATTTCATTGCCATTGCAACAAGCTCCTGATATTAATCCACAGTCGACTCTTATTATCCTGATGGGAGTTATGATTACAGGTAAATTCGATGTGTAGATCTTGTTTCTGGGAAAAATTTTGTTCTTAAATCCAAGCATAGTTGCCATGGAATTGGACAGAGCAATATCGAATACAGAATGGAGTTCACACTTCAAAGTATTAGTGTTGGCGTTCAAAGAGAACATTTCATCAACTTTGTTTTCATATCTCTCTTTATATGTATCATTCATTGATATTATTTCATGTTGAATATATTTATTGATATCTCCGATTTAATAAACACCTTCAGGAAGGGTTACCACATTACTCTGGTCACCCTCGTAAGAGATATTTTATTATGTTGATCATCAATATTGTATATGGTGTTGTATAAATAAAAGCCAATTAAGCCCAGACCGTAATCCGTACTTATATTCAACTCGACTGGTGGATAAAAATTAGCAGACAGTTTGCTAGTGTAACCCGTTAGAGTAAATGTGTTAGACATGACTGAAGAGTTGATGAATGAAAACATGGTCTTATATAGGTAAAAAAATATTTATTGGTTACAACAGTTGTTTGATTCAGATGTATTTTTAACATTGATATCTTGCATGTTACAGTAACAACAAAATATTTTTCTTGGTGGCGGTCCATCTGCTTCATCATCTCTCTTGCTTATTCCATGGTGTTCCCAGCAGACTTGGAATCGCTGTATATCAGCGTCCTCCTTCAAATGCTCCGACAGTTTGTTCCATACATGTGCTATTTCATTTGGCGTGCAGCATATGAGTACCTCTTTCGGTATTTGTGCAAGTTCATCTCGTGTCATATTCAACAGGCTTCTCTCCCTTGACAAGGCTTTAAGAGAGTCTCTAATCTTTTTCAATCGTTCCTGATCCATCGTCAAATATTTGATTAGCTCCTTGGGTGGGGGTAGATTGCCGAAACTGTCATAGTACCATACAACCATCCCACGTTTTATATATGAAACCCAATGTGACCCATCCCCACTCTTGTTATCTAAATTAATTATGACTGATTCATTCTTCAACGGACCCTGCTCGGACATTTTATCGCGCATAAATACTCCTTTGAAATATGGTATTTTTAGCTTCCTAGCATAATAGATTAGATCTATATTTATTAGCGGTCGAGGGGGGGGGGAGGGTTTCAAATAGTTTTTTGAATTCCTTAACTTGATGAATAACCCCAATCCTTTACGGTATGGTTTCAGAAAGAGATCATCTCCAATTCGATTCACATTAGAAGAAGGTGGTGAAGTGCTTTTATTTTGAATTTGCTCGCGCACTGAACTAGCTGTTTTAGCAGCTCTTGTTATGTTGGCAATACCACCAGCTAGACTACTAATACTGAAAGACCGGCAAAAATTGGTATCAAAGGAAGGATGCCTCCAACCTTGGGAATAGGTATAACTCGTGGAAGCTGAATCAGCCGTTTTCCACCGATGGATCTGATATGCTTCCGGGCAGCAAGTAATGCAGCGGAAGTCGCCTTTGCTAATACTGTCTTGTCTGGTTTACAGTTTGAGAACCTTTTCATGTGTTTGCATACTTTCTTCACTATCCCCGATCCAAAATGTACCTTTTTCTGTGATCTACTTGATTTTCTATACGACGTTTGACTTTCATAATACTCCATTTTCTGCGGATGTATTTTCTTCTACTCCGTCCACGACATGATGCTAGACCCACTCATGCGTGACGTTTTGCTTTCATGATATTAGTAACTAACCAACCGGCAGCTTTTTCTCCAAGTTTTGCGTCTCGAGATTTGACTCTTTTCCAAGCTTCTTGATCAAGTTGATAATCAGCAACGTGTCTCGCTGTCAAATCAGATTTCTGATATGCAATATCATGCTGTAAGCATGCAGCGTCTAATTTATTAACGCCTTTCTGACCTAGGGCTAACCTTTTTTGAAGACGTGTCCCTGGACCGCAGAAGGTAAATCTACTTCGAATGGTAACTTATCTATCAGCGTATCGACAAAACCACCACCACCACCACCACCAGGTTTTGGAGTGCTTTGACACCTTTTAATGCGAAGTAGTGGCATTTAAATAAATAAGACATACGCAATTGCAGTTTATATATTCTCAACTCGTTGTACAATGAGGGTCACAAAACAGAAACAAGAATTATGTATCAGCAATATTGATACAAAAGTGGCGGATATACAAAACAATGCTATGCAGCGGCATGGAAGTCTCCTCCCATCCACAATCCGCTGTATTATTGTTGAACCATCGAACTGTGGAAAAACCAACGTATTAATATCGTTACTGCTACATGAGAATGGACTATACTTTGAAAACGTCTATATATTTTCAAAATCATTGAATCAACCGAAATATCAATTTATACAGAAAGTACTAACTTCGGTCAATGGTTTAGGATATTATGCATTTAACAACAATGATGATACTTACCGCCATCGAAAGCCAAGCCGAATTCAATATTTATTTTTGATGACGTAATGACAGAAAATCAGACTTCTATTCTAGAATACTTCAGTATGGGTAGGCACAAAGGTGAGGATTGCTTCTATTGTGTGCAGAGTTACTCATGGGTGCGTAAAAGAGTAATAAGAGACAATGTTAACCTAATTGTCCTATTCAAGGTGGATAACACACATTTATCTGATGTGTTCTCCGATCATGTAGCACCTAATATGACGTTTAAGCAATTTCAACACATGTGTGCAATGTGCTGGAGCGATAAATACTTATTCTTAGTCATCGATAAGGATAGCGAACTGACAAGTGGTCGCTACCGGAAGGGGTTTGATAGTTTCATAAATCCACTGGAAGATTAGAAACACCATCAATCAATCGTGGGACTGCATCGCGGTGGATTAAAAGATAGCAAAATGAAACGGCAGCAGAAAAACACTGAAGTGGCACTCAAGAAGGAACTAGTAGATGCAGCAGAGTCACTTCGCAAGAAATTTATTGCTATCAAGAAAGGACGTGAATTCCATGATAGTGCATTGCAGCAGGTATATGAGCCCATTACTAAGCAGCTCAAAACAATAGCGGAAGCATCTACATCCAGCTTTTTGAAACAGTCAACACCCCAAATCGATAGTCCAAGCATCCTGAAAAAAGTATCATTTGATGAATCAAGAAAGAAATTATTTGATGCGACAAAATCAGATGTAAGAAAAACTGAGTTGCTTAAGAACAGTAGTGAATTCAATGCAATGAACTGTCAACACTGATGGAACAGGCGTAACGCGAATTCATTGCATCTAGAATGAGAAACGAGAAGGATAGCGCTAGTCAGGGCAAAACATTGGCAAAACATCGTGGTCCATTGTGGTATTTCCATATATGTTCTAAAGATTTTTGGTGAATGTTTGTTTTTAGTGACGTTAAAGATTAATAGTGATAGTTTGCGACAATTATTATAAACATTTTTATGCCGGACAGCCTTCAAGAGCTGTTGTTTTATGTGATATTTGTTTAAAAATGGTTGAATCTTGCAATAGACGCAGAAAAGATGTGAAAATGAAGTTTCACAGGTTGGTTTTAATCATCTCATTCATTTTTGTGTGAGAATTACCTGTTAATTGGTAATTCGAGGAAATATCTGGATTTTTAGGATACCTAGAGATCCTAACATGAGGAAGTTGTGGTTACATGCTATAAGAAGAGAAAACTTTACTCCCAGTACAACAACGGTAATTTGTGAAAAGCATTTCACTCCAGAGGATTATGAAGTTAGTGTTCATGGAAATAAGGTACTAAAAAAGGTCGCAGTTCCATCTGTGTTTGATTTTCCAGCCCATCTCAAGAAAGAACCTAGCCATCGAAGGGTTTTGAAAAGAAAACATGAAGAATCCAACTCAAAAGCAACAGGTATGTTCTTTAAAATATTCAGAGTCTAAGCTTAAGGTTTTAACTTTTCTACTTTTAAAAAAGATATTTACAATGATGAAGTGGGTCTTAGTAACGTAATTATTTTTAGAACAAACTTTGGCTATTGGTGAAGTAGTAGAAGAACCTGAAAATGGCGATCATGCTGATGATGGAAATATATTGGTAGCAGGTCCGTCAAACGTAACACAAAAACTAGGATTTTTAGAATCAAGTGAACCTTCAAACATATGCAATTTAAGGTAATTGTCATTGAACTTTGTGTTTCTCATTTGTTACAACCTCTTTTTGTCTATAGGGTCAGAAGATCACCAGTATACTTTGGGCATTTCAAAATTTCTGATTTAAATAATGAGCAGCGTCGGAAGATATTTTAGAAAACTGCTCATGAAACTGTTCATAAGTACAAAAAAGGTACAATCAGTGTAAAATTCGTAGACAAAGAAATAAAATAAAAAGTCTGAATAGTCTGGTAGATGAACTACTTAAGGAGAAGAGAATATCTGCAGCTCAGTCAATAGTATTACCTGAATTATTAATTACTTATGTTAAATACTAATTTTTATATCTTCAAATGTGTAAAGGAGAATTTATTGTAAAGTTTCATACATATGTATATATAAATAAATAAACTTGGTTTTTTAATTATAATTGCTTTTTCAGGATTTTATCTCGTTCCAGTTGCCTGAATAACTTTTAAATCTTCTCTACGAATCCTCGGTTTCCTATGCGATTCATTTAAGTCCGCGCGCTTTTTGCCCTGACTAGCTCCATCTCTCTCTCGGACCTCTTTGTCGTATGTTGGCCGCATTATCGTTTCATTGTACAAATGGGACGGGGCGATTCCATGTGTTGACAGTTCGTTGATTCAATGACCATACATTTGAGCAGATCTTTCCTCTTACTATGAGCACACCTAGGGCACAATCTATGGAATCAGATAATTTAGGAAATGCATCATTTGGTGACTTGACTCATACTAAACTTTCTACTATTGCCCCGATGCAAACGCAATCTGACACACATTCATTGAAAATTCAATGAGTAGATACGTGCCTACTTCAAATCATAGTGAAGCATCCGGATCTTTGACCAACTTGATAAATAACCATATATCTAATTTGAAAGCAAACAATCCAGGGTATGGAGGCATATACAATGTGAGAATAAATCCACAGTCGGACAAGTTATGATTAGGCAAACTCCAAGTAAGTTTTGATATTGGTGGAGGTTACCTGCTATTGAATTCTGAGAAGAAGAAGGAGAGAATAAAATTTAAAATGTCTCCCGAATTACTCGTATTGATATTTTTGGACAAACCGCCTGATACAAAGAATTTAGACTCCCGAAACTTGAACACATTCAAAAATATAATGATTAAAACTAATGTACTTCGTAAAGCATATTATTCGACATATGACTTCAGAAACGATGGAACTTTCGCTAAATTACTGAATATCATATCAACAACATCGCCCAGACGCCTGAAATCATCAGTGGGTCGGGGTATATATTTGAAAGCACCCAAATATAAAATATACACAGGTGACATTGAAGTACCACAGAAAGCGGCTAAAACCGACCGCGTGGTTGGGGTTAGATGTCTCCTTGAAAATTCGAGGTCTTCTAGCCATTTTATACTACAATGTGTAGGTTGGCTTTTGTTGTGGACTTTGTGTGATGTTTTTTCTCCCTCCAACTTCGTTTCCTCAGCTTACACCCATATCCGGATGTGTAGGCATGTGTATCTACTTGGATGTGGACATGATTTCTCGCCAAAAGTCAGATTCATTTTCGGCAATTTCAATGCTCCATTTGGCAAAATCAAAGGGACACGGATGATCAGCTGGGGTTAATTGATGAGCCGTTTGAATTTTGTATAGAAACATCTTCAAATCCTTACGAATTATGCGTCGGAGAGTGGTTCGAGCGATGTCTAACTCTTGAGAACGATGACGACCGGATGTTGATGGAGTCTCTTCAACACTGGCTCGTACGGCTCCGATATTTTCATCGGAACGTCTTGGTCGTTGTCTGTATAGGTGACTGGCATTACTAACGCCGGCTCCACACGTTGACCCCAACGTTGTCCCCAACGCCACTCGCCCAACGTGTGTATCTAGAAAATAGCGTTGGCCCCAACGTTGGAGCGACCGTTGGTAGTTGGTTGTCGATTGTCGGTTTTATCAAAGGAATCTGCGCCAACGTTGGCAATCCGTCCACATATTGGCTCACTGGCTCAGTCTTGTTGTAATACGCGTCGAGTGCGTATGTGGAGATATGTCATCAACAACATCGCTACCCGCGTGGAAAAACGAAAAAGTTGTAGAATTTTTAGAGTTATACCAGGCGCATCCAAGCGCTTTGAGCAATTTCGGTTTCGGTGTCGGACATCTTCACATTGACTCTGACAGAAAGGAGCTAGTATAATAACCAACGTGTGGACGCTTCACCAACTTAACCGACCAACGTTGGTACCAACGTTGGGGCCAACGTGTGGAGCCGGGTCAAGACTACCGGGATTAAGGTGGAGGGATGACAAGGAGAGGGGTGCATCAGTTAACCACACCCCCTCCGTCAACTCGTTTGAGAATGGTCATTGAGAGGACTCAGAATTTAAACACCCCCCCGCCTCTTACCCCACCACCCAAAACAACCCCTTCACCCCCCCACCCGGGAGGAAGTTGAAGTGGCAGTATTACTCTACTAATGTGATTGTTTAAATCAAGATTGTTTTGTAACAAAGGATTTTCTCATCCATAAAATAAACAAATAAAATGTTTGATACTTGAAAACTCTTAGTATGACTTGAATATTAACTGCCACTCGAGAATCGATGAGGCTTCATGAATGTAATAAAATATTCGAGACTAGTTTGATTTTTGGTACAGTCGGAAATCCACCTAATCTACGATGTTTGTAATTAACGTGGATTATTTTTTACTAAGCATATATAGTACATATAGTAGGACATGACCTAATTTTAATTGCAGGATTATCCGTTATTTTCGGGACACCTTGTATATGCGAAAAAGCGGGCGAAAAGAAAGCAACACATGTTATCTTCTCATTTATTTATTTTAATTATTGTCCAGTATTTCATAATAGATCATGCTGTTGGGGTTGATCCTTTTTATGCTTTCTTGCAAACTCCTTTTTCACATCGAAGACCCTTTGCGCATCTAACTGTTGGTGGTCCACCTCCAACAAAATACAAATTCGGGCATTTCTGTTCTTTCTCTGGCGAAAAAAGAACGTGTAATCAAACAAAATTATATTTATACGAATAGAAATTGTGATAATTATTACCGCGAATAATGATTTTGGCGAATACCGAATATCGAATATCCGGCCATGCTATTTTCGGAAGCGCATAATATTCGGCCTCTGATTTCCATTTGTAGGTTCACATTTCTCGGATGACAGGTTACGACCTATCTCATTGCAGAAGAAAGTAGACGATGGAAAACAACAAAACCAATGAAAAACACGACAGTTTCTAGAGTTGCTTTGAGAAAGTTGCTACAAATTTATATAGATAAAGATGAAGATAGCAAACGTACGACAACACTAACCAACACTGACAGAATTCGAAAAAAATCATCTACCATTATCCAGTAGTAATCTGTCAAAGAGTGAGATAATTATTTAAAAAAGCAGATATATTTTGTGAAAAACATCTGATGAACTTTTAGGTATTACTTGTTATGCTTGTTGGTATTTTTGAGTAATCATGTATGACTTTCTTTTATGACTTGGTGTATATCAAACAAGCCGCATACGCCATGAATAGTTTCAAAATATTCGTGGCATTTCTACAGCCTGCAGTCGGTTGCTGCTTAAGGAGATACTTGAATTTTATGTGCTAACGGGATTTCTTAAGCTTGAACCGCTGTTTAAACTTCTCTATAGTTAATAATTGGATATACATGATGTCCCTGAATAAAATGTCAATCACTCGTACATATTTCAAATACAAAAAAATAACGTCAAGTTCTTATAAAAAAGTTCTACGGGGCTACCCTATGGAGATACATACCTCCAAAGGACGCTACTGGATATCGGGTTTTCTTAAATAACTGTTGAAAGCCACTGTATCATTCAACGAAATGTTGTAGTAATCAGGAGCTTTACTTGATAGCACCAGTGGATAACAATGAACTTACTTAGATCGCCAGTGGGGGAATGAACCTAACGACATATTATATTTGTATAATGGTGGTCTAAAATTAATATTTTTGGAAAGACTAATGCTTTAGCAAAAAAATATTCTTCCTTGATTTCGGTAAAATTTACCGTTTCTTGATTCAATACCGTTTGTATTGATTAGCACTGCAGTCCCAAAAAAGTCTGAATGAAATGAGCAACTTAACTGAACTGAAAATTTGTATCCTGAAGTTCCCAATTACGAATATGCTGTCAGAATTATTATATTTCCAGTGTACCAGATCAAGTGCCAACATTATCATAACCATACTGAAACAAGCTGCTTTTCTCAAAAATGGTCCATTTTATTTGTGTCAAACAGAAGTATATATTTTTCAAAGATCAGGATTTTCCAAAATCTTATTTTTGGTCCAATTTGATACAGAGAAAAGCTTAGCAATATTGCCTTGGGGTTAGTCCGTCTCTGATGATCTACATAAGTTAATGATTGTCCATGATGTGAAGTCCCAACTAGTTATTAAACTGTCAAAATTTTACCGTATCATTCAAAAGTTATTTGAGAAAAACCGATTTTCAGTCGCGACCTTTAGAGACCTGTTTCGCCGTAGGGCAGTTCTCGTGGTAATTTGAGAAATTATTTTTATTTTTCACGACTTGGCAGGGTAGTATTCTAATCGCGAACATATTCGAAAATGAGATATTACGTTTTTGGATGTTATATGACATGTACGTCACGAACAACCATGTCACTCATTTCCGTCTGTCTGTCTGTTCGCTAATCCTATAACCGCCTATACCTTGTCAAGTAATGCTCGGATTTTGAAAAACTTTTTACATAAAGATACTTCTATACTAAGGATGAAAAATCTTTATAGTTTTTGAAAATTGATCCAGTAGCGGCAGAGAAAGGTTAAAAACAAAAGAGAGAAAAAAATTATAAACTTGGTTACTTGACGTTTCAAAGGACCATGATCATCTTTGAAAAAAAAAATCAGTTGTAAAAAATTTGGGATGGGGTTTCCTAAGCTGTGGTCGCGCTGCCACGTCTGACCGGGTCAGGAATCGGGGACAGGCGACGTTGCCAGATGGAGTATACCCATAGAACAGGTACAGAATTGTATGGATCTGTTTGACTGACTTTTTTCTCACAGCGTCTAGCTTCTGCCGGACATAATCCTTTATGAACTGATAACGGTGTTGCGTGGAAAGTGCAAAGTTAACCTACTTGACGTCATTTTTAGTGCTCTATATGCATACTAAAGATTGACATGTCATGCTGGGATACCTTGTATAGAAACACACCGCGACGCGGTAAAAATCTAATTGTTATTCTAGATGATTATTTTAAAAGGATTTCCTGAAATCCTTTTACAGTTAGGATGCCCATATGAATACATGCTAGTTCAAGTCATGGAGAAGGATGAACGCTATTTCACGAGCATCCATCACGTTTTGACGCCTACTGAGGTAAACAGCTGATCAGAAAGTGACATCTTTGTATTAGTCTGTAGCGTTGGCAACAATGAATCGGGTGTAAATCTAGTAAAACTTGCTTGTAGCGTTTTTCTTGTATGTATTTGGATTTTTTTAAATAAAATAGTTGTAAGCAAGTACAAAATGAATCTATAGCGTACAAAAAACCTAAACAAAATACGGCTGTCTACCTGGCGTTGATGGATTCATCAGAATTATGTGTCATTTGTCGATATGGGGACTTTTGGAATATTACTAGAAAATTAGCTGTTATTGTACCGTAATGGATATTGGTGAAAAAGTGAATTTAACGTCTTTAAGAAAATTCTCAACCACAAAGCTGGTTTTGCGGTTTTTATTAGGGCCGGCTTCAGAGTTTTGTGCCTCCTGAGGCTAAGGACAAAATATGCGCGCTTTCCCCATATTAATTCAGATTTTTGCGCTCCCCATGGTACTGCGCTCTGAGCTGGCTGCCTCATTTGCTTACCGCCTGTAGCCTACCCTTGTCTTTATAAAAAATTGTAACAGTGCAAACTTATTCTAAGGTTATCTCGCTGGCTCGGATCTATCTTTGAAGTATACAGTTTAAGTTATTGACCAGAAAAAACAAAGAGGTGAAATTTTAAGCTGCCTAAGTCTAAGTAGCAAAACTCTCTCGAGTGACTATTTGGCAGCATCAGAAGCATAACGATATCATCTAGTGGGCTGAATTACCTTAAATTATGACTTTTCTCCTTTGCATGTACTATACCAGGAGTATAAATTAAGTGACGAGATGTTTTTAATGTTTTTATTCAAATATACCTAATTACAATTTTATATTGTCGGTTCTTCCACTCCTCATAGAAGTTCTTTCTGGAACTCCGATACTGGAATAGACTTTAGCTGATCGGTTATAGCCGTTTGAATGTTTTCAACTGTCCCAAAAAGAGTTCCCTTGAGGTGATTTTTCAACCTCGGGAAGAGAAAAAAGTCACGTGGACTCAAGTCAGGCGAATAAGGAGGCCGAAGAGCTACAGGTATGTTTTTACTGGCCAAAAACTCGTTTACACTGATATTACTACGCGATAAGGCGCATTATCGTGATACAGCACCCAGTTGTTCTTGATCTGATGAACGATGGTGTGAGTCCAAATTTAACTCTTTCCCTATCATTCTGACTATCAACCGACGAGCTGAACGCCCAAGATCCCGGATTCTGTTGATATTTTTATTGGCCTTTCGTTTCGTGGTTCATCTTCGATCGGTTCTCTCCCCTTTGAAAATGCCTCAGACCATCAAAAAATCTGCGCTCTTGACAAAAAACCATCACCGTATGCCTGTTTAGTAACAGTTCCCGTTGCAATGTGCCCAAGTATGAAGCAAATCACTCCAGTGCACTTAATTTACAGACATCTTATCTCCAAAAAAGAGGGTGAAAAGAAAACAAATGACTACAACAATTTGTACATTTATTTTTTGTTCAATGCTCTCTTGAGATTTTTCAGTTGAGCGCCTATAAACTCTTACAGACTCCGTTGATACACTGAAGTCCATCTCCACATCTTTCTGTCGCTGGAGTTCCTCCAGAAAATATCTGCGCTAGGCAATTGTCTCCTTCCTCTGGTAAAACAAACGAAATATAAAATACCATATATGATCGAGTATCGGAACATGAAGATTATTCTATCTTGCAGCCTGTTTCTTCTCATTACGTCAAGTTGTTAAAGATAAGTTAAAATCACTGGCTACGACAAACTGCCACATGTCTAAGCCAATTAGGAAAACATATGACCACAAGTTGGAAAACTTCGATTGAAGAAATATAATTAAGATTCATCTGTTGCATATTTTATATATTTTGACCACATACAAGCATGCATTCATTCCACAGTTGGGTATTATTGCTTCTGAACGTTGGAAATAATAATTCACATTCATCTCAAAACGGATAATTTTGGATATGGAGTTTTTGTCATAAAATGAACTGAAATAGAAGAGTCAGCTTCAATGACTTGTTCAGAAGGCGAAGAGGAGTATTGCGTCAGACTTTGAAGTTGAGTCATTAATTTTCAGATAATGATTGTAGAAGGAAGATAAACCAAAATATGTGTGTAAAAATAAAAAAAAAATAAAAAAAAATGTTACCTTGTTTAATAAAGTATCCTCCCGACAAGTATTTCAGTGCGGACCTGTATTTGATCGTGCGGTCTTGGAGCACCGGCATGCTCTCACCTGTGAGGTCTTAAGTCACCTGATTCACGAGCCGTTTGTACTACATTAACAAAGGCACGAGGGGTTGGTTGCACTCGATTGGGAAACCGATTCGCATAAATCCGTGATGCATCCGGCAGCATTTTGTAAAGACTGTCCCCCCGCAAATAAGAATCATGTCCACAAGTTCAGCATTTTCGTAAACATGTGCCATTTTTCATTTCGTTTGAGTCACGCAACAAACATCACTATTCACCCACGCGTTACCGACTGACGAAAAACAACGTGATAAACGTTTCAAATTCTTTCGCTTTTTTGTTTCCGATGCGATGAACCGATATCCGTTGTTGCCAAACACATAATATTATTATTGAGACAGGGCGGTACTCAAACTTCTAAAGGGCTATAACTTTGTTACTTTAATTTTACCAGAAAAATGTTAAAGGAAAAAAACATTTCTTTTGATCAGATCTACTCACTGTTAAAATAAATGACTCAACTTCGAAGTCTCAGTTACAAATACATCAGAACAGACAGTAAAAATGATTTGATTCGAATGAAATTTCATACATACACAGTTAAACATAAGTAAGAGGAAGAAATTTTGAAGTCGAAACATTTGCTGTGTTGCTAATAATGTGTTGTACCCTCGCGCAGTTTTAAACAGAACCTGGACCCAGAAGAAGGGGAATGATGAATGTTATCAAATTGTTTTTAGTGATGAAGAAAGTTAGAATTTTTGTTTTTTAGACGTACCACTCAGTCAACTGTATAACTCAACGGCATTGTACGTAAAAGATACGATGATGTATGGTGATGAGGAATATCGAACTGGGCATCATGAAGTAACATTGTTGTAATTAGATTTCTTCGAGGAACTAACTACTTGCTAGGTACATAGGTCTCTCTCTCAAACTAACGTATAAAGCTCAAAATTATTTGTGAGCTTCAGCCCTCCAACTCACAAATCTTAGTTGTAACATGGCTGTAGCTACGAAGACTGAAAACAAAATGTCAGCAAAAGTTATGAATTGTCTGCAACCTGGTTTTTGTTATGGACTCAAGACAAAGATAAAGATGGTGGTAAGATTATAGCGGCTCTTCGGACTCAAAAACAGCTAGCTGTGGATGAGATACGTTAAGAATCTATAAATTGGAAGCATACTCCAACGACTGGGCTAATGTATATGGCATCAAGGATAACCCAAAACACTATTAGCAAAATCCAGGGATTGTTTTCACTTCAGACTTAGTCACCTTTTCCTCTTGCTCACGCCTAACTGTAAATAAAATGTTATTCGAAAAGCACCATTTTCATTGGGTGTTCTATTAACTTTATTAGGGAGTCTATGCTAAATACCAGTAAATGGATAGTAGAGAACAATTCTGGCACCAAAAAATCTCGTACGAATTGACAAGATGGTCTTCTGTCAAAGCTTTTCAGCCAGACTTACCAAACTTATGGGGTAATCACCTTGTACCTATTCGATTTTTCCTATTATAACGATAAACTTACTCAAAATAGTGACGCAAAGATCACAACACCCACAGAAGCCTCCTTTCTTGACAAGTACTTGTTTGGGGATACATTTTGGCTGAGCACATTTAAATAATTTGCACATACTTTGGGTACACGAGATGGCTTCCGACTCATCAAAGGTAAGAGCTATGGCTACTAGTACGAACAAACCGATGATTGCTGCTTTCATTGTGGAATGTGGTTGAATATTCCTCGTTAGTGGGAAGTCGGGAAATATGTACGCAATGATGGTTTAGAAGATACATATTTTATATTTTTTGACATGTAAAAAACGTCGTGTGTTAAGTAAATAGCCTGATACGATATAATCTATATGTAAGTAACTTATATGTGTGTTGGCATGATAAAGGTAATTACGGAATGGATATAAATAAACATAAACATGGGAAAAATTGAATGATATTCACGGATACCAAGCGGAATCTTTTAATACCTACCTAATAACTTATTGTTAGTAAAGCTCATAGTTTCATGTTGCATATTATCATTGGTTTTTATTGACTGTTTGTCTGTCTGTCTGGTAAACATCAACTCTGAGATACCATGCTATTAAAAAATCAGTATCATTTTAATTCCGAAAATGAAATTCCGTCCCTGAAAGCAAAAAAAAAAATCAGAATTTCACCCTTCTGATTGTAAAGGTAATATTTACTAATGTCTTTCCGATTATATTTCGAATATAGCTTTTCAAACGTGCAGTAAGGAAAACATATTTAAGAAAAAACACACATCTACCTTAATATGTTTTCGTATCCTGTTTACTCTATTAAATATCCGAACATACCGAATACCCGGCAAAAACGATTTTTTTAGAAAAAAGGTTCTAACAGAAGTTTTACGATATCAAAATACCAACTTGTGGATCACCTTAAAGGTCAAGATTGAAAATTATAAAATCAACCACCTCTGGCAGTAAATTCGCGTTGAGGTTGATACAGGTATTTTACATTGGAGAACATTTTCATAAATGTGGTCAAGTGGCCATAAGTGGTGCTTCAGTATGACCAACTGCAATGTTTAAAAAATATTCGAATTCCTCTAGCTACACATTTTAAAAAAGGTTCCAATGAAAGGAATGCTAGGAAATCGAAAACGTAATATGTCGCTCAAATATGAGGGCATTTGGAGGCAGAGTTTGTATATTAAGTTAGCTTTCACTATTTTCAACAGCAGATTCGTGCATGTTTATAGTATTGTTGAAAAAGGTGACTGCCACTTACATTCGGAACTTCAGCTCTGAGGTAGTTATCTAGGTCATATTTAAGTGTCTATTCTGAGGCTTTCATAAGTTTCTGATTCAGAAAAAATGCGTACTTGATAAGTTTTCTGAAGGTATTTTTCAGACATTAGGTCATGCTGATTAGACCACTTCTGACCGTTCAACGTCTTGTATTAAAATTTACTTTTATGTAAAAGCTTAAGCTCTACACGAATCTGTTGACGAAAATCGTTATCGCTAAGTTCCTCTACGTCATATTTTTTAAAAAAATGCGTCGTTTCCAAGTTTTCAAGGTTTATGTACTCATGTTTGAAAATGCATGTTATATGCCCTTGGTAACTATGCAGTTATTAAGTTAGCATGCCATGTTGCACCTGACGCTGCGTAAGCATAAGATAACTACTCGCTAATCAGTTGTTTACTTAGTGTCTGTATTTATCAATAGCCTATTGTTTGTCTATTGTTTACTGTTATTGTCTATTTTCTGCTGATGCTTAGACAACATCTCAAATTGTATAAATAGTCTCCCTAACATTTGAAGTGTGTTCAATACACGGTTAGACTCCGTAAATGTCATATCCATTGTAACTTGTAATTTGTAACGGTCTAAACATACAGACCTTAACAATGTTTTTTAAACAGTCTTTTTCAAAGTGATTGATTTAAAATGCATTTTGAGCGCCCATGAGGGGGAAGCAAGTGGCGGAATGTCCACTCATGGCTTCTGCTTAAGAAGTAAAATATACCTAATAGGGTGTTTTTTTTTGGTTTTCAAAACATCCGCGAAAATTACTTTGCTAGATCTGATTGTGGAGATTTGCTACCCCCTCCTCCCTCAAGATGTTCAGGTCCAAAAATATCTAAATCCATCAAGTTGCTTGGGCTGTAGCGCGTGAAACAAAAGTCTCAAAGTTGAAGTTTACATATGAAACTCGAAATTGAACGCAATTAAAACACTTTTTGTGTACATGTCTGCCATGTCGGGGTCGCCAGATTGATTGTGAAAAAAATTATATCTAATTTGTTAACAGCGCCCTCAAAAGCATGCAGATGAAGTTTTTCGGTGAATTTTATCTAGTTAGTCTCGGGACATTTGAACCATTGTGCGTTGCAGTCTCATTTTCGCTTAAATTCGCTATAATATGTTACCAATAATTCTACACAATTTTGGTGGTGACATACTGTATAATATAACATATACCGTATGAACTTTTTATTCGTTTACTTTGAATCGCAACGTTTGTTGTCCCGAAAGAAGCGTTGAAGGCTACTCACAATCTGATAATTCTTATCAGATAGATTTCATATATTTAAGCGTTGCTAAGAAATCTATTATTGATTGAATTCGACATGTCAAGAATATCGTGAGTTGCGCAGTTTGAGTTTTTAAGGAAACAATAGAATCTTGTCATTGACACTTCCAAAGATATTTTCTTCTACTTAGTAATAATAATAATAATAATAATAATAATAATAATAACTAACAGACTGAATTGTCGAATAACCTTTACAGTTTATTAATGATAATAATAATAAGTAAAAAAAAACGAAAAACTGTTTTACTAAGATATTTTTAATTTGTTAATGTTACATATTTTAATTTTGCATGTTTTAATACCTTCAAGGTCCACCCGGACAAAGCGAACAGCGATCGTGAAAAAGTACAGAGAGTTATTGGTTCAGCCTTCTTAATCATACAAATCAGGAGGAATGCGTCTACGATTTTGGTTGGTAGCAAAATAACTCTTGAGTTCCGACATAGCCGGTACTGTACTTGCCCGTAACCTTGTTTTTGTAGTTGTAGTACCCTGGTACTGTTTTTGAAATGGTCCTTTCAAGTCACTTGACTTGTTGTTTTTGCAATGAACGCGTATTATGCGGTATTATGAAAGGAGAACGAACGTATTGACTTTCGAAAATTATGCATAAAGTACGTAGAACGAAGAACTGTAACATGAAGTAAGGGCCGCATTCCAGGACATTATTGCGTAACAGTTAGTCAATGCGATACAAGCAACAATTGATACAGTTGAACTTCAAGGAGGAGGCCATTTTGAACACTTAGAACCTTAATGGGACTTTTTCAAATTTATTTTGTTGTAATAATAATGATAGGATAAATGTATTTAATTCATTTGTATAATTTACTACAACATAGGCTAACACGTCTATTTCTTTTTCTTCACTGACGATAAAGTTATTCACATTTTCTTCTGGTTCGTTGCACATTTTGTATTCCGACAGCAATATCCTCAATTGTTTGTCACGGATAACTAAGATAATAGGAATTAGTGCATAGGTATACCGAATGCAGTTACGTATTTTTCGTTGTTAAGTATGATCACATGTTTAGGCAGCAGGGGTGGCCGCAGTAGTAGACTCTTCGGTCTCCTGATCAGTCGCCGTGCGCTGTGCGGGTTCGAGTCCCATTCCAGGAGAAATTTTTCTCTTGGCTATGGATGTTGTGATTGTCCGTAGGTGGTAGATGGTCTCTGACTGTCGAACGCGGAGGTACCACCCGGCGGTTCTCGTAGGCGGAGCCAGAATGTGTGCATGTTGCATGTACACGTGTTCCCTCGCCAGAGTCCGTGTGGCGTCCCCCCCTTTCCCATGTATCCCCCTATAGCCCCACGGTACCCAATGGGTGCTTAGGCCTTAGGCCTTCGTGGTAGTTGAAGTATAAAAAAAATGATCGTTTCTTACAACTATTCAGAAAAATAAAATAAGAGTATGTAGTGTCAAATTATTCGTAAGAAAATGGTCTCTTAGAAAAAAGCGAAGTAAATCAAATATCAAGTAAACTGAACAAACTAGTACTTGTAACACTATCTACTTAACTTTCAAACAAACTGAAAAAAATAGTATTTGTAAGTCTTAGAATATCTTTTAACTGACTGTAAGGTCATTCGCCTCAAAATTGTATTTTTCCCGTGTTACGATTTACAGGATCCATGGTATTCTAGATTGAAAAATAAAATTTAAATAAATATGACTTTGCTTGTCAAATATTGACAGGTGAGGCGTTGTTGAGTTCAGAATGTCATTCTCGATCGAATAGGCAAAGATGTATAGGAAGTCCCACATAAAAATCGAAATTTGGAGACGTTTGTTAACATGACCTGTTCAAAATATTAGTAGCTCTCCAAAAAAGGTCCCAGGACCTTTTTGAAAGGTGCTGTACATTGGACTGATGTTCCGATGTTGTACGTTCTCGTCAATGATTAAATACATACGCAACAACTTTAATATTCAGGACTTAAAGTCGAAACATATGCAGAACGACGAGTTTTATGCGAAAAAATATATCCAGGGCGCAGCCATCTTGTACTGTTCACAAAGTATTTTGTGACAATTCTGATGGATCTCATCTTCCAGCTTCTTGGTATGTTACTTATAATAAACAAATACACATATAGGCGCCCACAGGATTTTTAGCAATAGAAAGCGACCATCATCGGAAGAGAAAACTGAGAAGGTGTACCTGCCTTCAAAACTTTTTTAAAGGCGACGGATAATAATTTCTCAGGAAAGGTGGAGTGAGAGACAAATCTGTCTTAAATATACATAAAATACACAAAATCATGCTAAATATACAAATGTTAAGGTACAATCGAATCCTCACGGCCCCTGGCACCCCATACGTGCGTCCATGAGTCCACAGTTTATTTTTTGAGCAGCAGAATTTACATATGGCGGAAAATGACGACTGGGGTCCGAGGCTATTATCCACCGTCATATTGACACTATAATTCACCTGTTGTGAATTATGTGAACTCTCTATTGCGAATAAATCTGTTCTCGACTGGTCACATAACACTATAAATATAATACGCGTATGGTTTCCGCCTTAGGTCCGTCTGGTATGTTTTTGAGGGATACTGAACTATACACTGGAAAAGTGGTTTCGACAATGGTTTTGGAGAAATTATACGACAAATGCAGTTACCTATTTTCTGTGGGGCGTTAATGACTGTGGAGTATCTAAACGAGAGATATCTTTGTTTCAACATCATTCAAAATGGAAAAAATAGGAGGTACGTGCAAGTTTTATACGTTTCCTACAGCAACATGGAAACTCGAGCAAACGAATAAATGGATAGCTGAGCTGTAAATAGAAAAAGGTAAGTAACATATGGTGAATATATTTTATTGTCACTACTTTTCCCCACTGTTGCTCGTTGCTTGTTATTGGAAATCTCTATTCTGTGTTGATATAATGTATAAAAACAGAATGTTTGCACTTGCTCACTTTGGTTATAAACACAGTTGCGCTAAACATTCGTAACGGCACATTCGCTATTTATCTGGAATTGTAAAGAGTAACTGATACAGGCAGACGTGAACCTCACTCAAAAATACTATTACATTGAGTCAAAGGCCTTATTTCGTGTTATCTCATTCACTGTTTTGTTCAAATACGCAAATTACATAGCTTAATCTGCATTACAACCTGTTTAAGCATTTTCATCTGGCTTTCTTTCAATTAAAAGCAAGCTGAAAGTATCTAGTTGCCAAGAATTGAAAGGTCCATCTTTGACCAATTATGGTCACTGCCATAGCACACTCAGAGAATACATTTCGATTAGATCTGCTATATTTTATTTTACAGGATTTCTCGTCAGAGGGGCTGCAAAATCAGGTAGGATTGACTAATTAAATTATACGCGCCGCACCAGCTTATATTACATTGAGTAGGACAACGATAGTTCCACAATCTAACAGCAATATATGAAAATAGATCTGAAATGTCCAACGTGTACAGCTATACTAAAAATAAGTTGATGCCTATTTTATTGCAGTAAAAACATTGCCCGTTTAGACGCTCCATAAGCTGCCAACTGTACTTTTTCTAGAAAAATTGCACCCAACACCACTAACTACCTCAAACAGTTTTGTCAGTGACTCACGTTGCAGCGAGCGTTTTCAACCCATCCACACGCCTCCTAAAACAAAGAAAATGGGATATTATAACCGAGTCATAAGCCACAAATGATTCTGCTTATGGACTTAACAACAAATCTTCGATGGATATTTTTTTATTCCAGATTTCCATGAGATTGACGACCGATTTGTCTAATAATGCTGAAACAAGCACGACATCTTCATGGTTGGCTACGTGTGCCCGGACGGACAATAAACAGAATGTTTAGTTGTTCAATCGCATGTACTACACCGCCAAAATTGTCAGCCTCCACACTGGTGACTGGGCTATCAAATGCCAACGGAGATCTACAAAATTCCAACCCATAGCTGCTATAGACTCTCGCAGTGGTCGATTCTTTTTAATAGATGACGCTTTGTGCTGTCTTATTTCGGTAAACAGATTTCTCTACTCTAGATTGGCCCTCACGACGCATTAACATTTTTTGATGGCAATATTCGAAATCGTCCCAAACTACCCCAGTGAACAGTTTCGTTTAGATCTGCACAGAGTCACAGAGATTGCCTATTTGATGTGTATGAGCGTGATAGAGAGAGTATGTTAGCGCGAAAGCGTCAATAAAGCGTCCGTAGAATCGTTGTTCTTGTTCTGTCGAGCACGCTTCATTAACTTCAAAACTTAAATCGTTAAAAATACATGGGAAAACACCTAAACTAAATGTAATTTTGAATAAACATTTATTTACTCCAGATAAAAACGGCGAAAACAATTACGGTATTTGTTCAAACATAATCTAACATTACATTTATCACACCAAACTTGTGTTTTCCCCTTACACTCAGGAAATTTGCATCTTTGGCGATCTTCATGCCACTCAGGAAGATGTCCCACATTGTCGCAACGAATTTCTTGGGCTGGTATTTCCGCAAAAGGATATTTCCTTTTTTTAAAATCCAGTTGAGCTGTAGTGAGCTATTGGGTCTGCCTCGCTTTTTTGAAATTACGTGGGATCTTGTTAGAATTTCTGCTAAACCAAGTTTGAATTCAGCCAGTGGCAAATAGTTCTCAGTGAGAGCTCTTCTCCACAATATCCAACTATTTTACAGCACAACATGTAGAGGAAATGGAAACATATTCTTAGGTAAAATTTTTTTGACCTTATAAGTATCCTATGGTATCCTAACATCGAGTCAAGTAGATCAACACCTCCCATACAGTTGTTGTATATTTCTATACTCTTTGGACGAGGAATCATAATGTGCTTTTTTTCCTTTCTGCAAAATCTCTGTACTTCGGAAATGGGCCGACTGCCTACGGAAGTTGATACTGTGGTAACTATTTTGTTATCATACCCGGAAACTACTGAAACATCTACGCCATCGACTCGAGCAACTCTCTCCATAATTGTACCTCTACCTTTTTTCTTCATCACAGATTCCTTAGGAAATTCGCAATCTGGCACACGATTTTTGCGGACAGTACCAAGAGGCAAAATGCCCTCTTTGCTGAGATAAACCAGTAATGGAAGGCCGGTGAACCAGTTATCAAAAAAAACCTTGTAATTTTGATTCCTCGGAACTGACTCTTGTAAGTTTCACTACCACATTACTACTTGCCCCAAGATCTGGTTGATAAGGCTGCAACTTAGTTGGCCCAGAAAAGAAGTCGAAATCATAACTGAAGCCTGATACTCCGTTTAGTACGAAAACTTTATAGCCCCATTTATGAGGTTTTTTTGGGTTATATTGCTTTAGGGTTGATCGAGCTTTTGTTGGTATAATTTGTTCGTCAACTGCAAGATGCTCTTCTTTTGGGACAAGTAGGTACCTCTCTCGTACTTTTTCTAAAAAAGGACGAATTTTGAAAAGCTTATCGTAACCAGGTTCATCGCGATTTTGATGCTTCGTATTATCATTGAAGTGAATAAAACGTTTTATTTCTTCAAATCTGTTACATGTCATAGCTTCGGTTATTGCAGTAACTCTCAGTGTACTACTCCAATGGCTTCTAGTGGAGGGCAGGTGCGCTACAGACATGTATATGCAAATTCCAATGAAAATATTTATCTCTTCTTTAGTTATATTTGGTGGCTTTTCAGGCCTACATTGGATAGCATATAAATTGGTCTGTTCCATCATATCTACCAGTATGTCATCCGTAAAAAAAAACTTGAAAAATTCGAATATACCACCCAAATTCAAAATATCTTTTCCTAATGAGTGAGACGCCTTGAATAATATGTCTTAGTCAGATACCCTCAACTGTTTATCTTCCCAATCAAAACAAACCTTGTTTTTTTCTTTGCCTTGTTTGCTGCAATGAGAGTTGAAAGGGGAACATCGTCTTCACTATCGGAAAAATCACTTTCTTCAATCACAATATCTTCGAGCATCTCTCTATCAAGCTGTTCTTCTTCACTGGTATTTTCCAACAGAACTTGAGAAAATGTTTTTCGGTAAAAATCATCATCTGACAAATGTTCATCTTCACTGCCACTCAAGTTCGGAATCCCTACAGTTTTAGCACCATAAAATCGTTTTGCATCCATCTGAAAAAAGGGGAAATAATATAGTCAGCTTTTCTTTTACTGCAAGTTGTTCCGATTATGGCACAAGAAAACAAATGACGATAAATCAACATGTGTATGAGTTGATGGACATAATTTTACAAAAGTCACAATAAGAAATACTTACCAGAACGTAGATAATTTTAGTTGCACCAAAAATTCGATTTTTGAACGTTTTATGGCCGCCACAACTTTATAAGCGAATGTAGTAACACGTGCTTACGGGCCGCTAAACGAAATCTGACGCAATTCATAAAATACGTGCTAGAGGGCGACAATGTTTCTTGGCGATAGAGAAGCGAGCGTGCCAGATATGGAACAGGTTAGGTTAAGGTCTTTAGCTGTTGGGGGACTTGAAAAATAACATATATTTCACGTGTGCCAAATTTGGGACAGTATGCGGTAAGTGGTTAATTTATTATTTATTTTGGGAACTAAGGGTCACGTGACAACTTATTTTGAAGCTGATCATGCGTATTTTCTAACCCTGGAATATGAATTCAGTCTCCCACAAAATCGCGAACTGACAGGCAGTTGCAGTTAAGCGTACATTGAACCGCTTATAACTACAACTAATCTTCAAAACGCAATATACATCAATGTTGTTCTTTTGGAATGATCTATCTGAATATGCGTTAAAACATGGTAGATGCATTCCGTTTGGAGAATTTGACAGTTCTTGAATTTTTTTTCAACAGAATGCTCTAGCTTTTATGCATATCCGTGAGATACCCTTCCAAGAAAAGAAGATCGATACATTTTGATGCCAGGCTATTGGGTCATAAGCGATTTAATGTACAAAAACGCTTAACTTTGACAGTCTGTCAATTTCTCATTTTGAAAAATAGCACATTTTTATTCTAGGGTTACAAAAAATGCAGAAGCAAAAAATGAGGCATCGCGTTTCGTTAAATACGATCCAAGATGAAATTCAGCCTCCATACTGAAGCTTCCAACGGCTATTTTTAAGCGAAAATATAGCATCTATGCATCAATTCCACCCCGAATTTCAGTTTGTTAACTGAACGATTTTTGTGTAAAAAATTCAACATGGTGTAAAAAATTGCCATATAGGCACATTCAAAGTTTTTTTAATAGAATTATCTGTGGATTCAAATACTGGAATGTTAGCATACCATTAAGGATGAAAGAAACTGGAAGGAAAATTCATTAATACTAGCACGTACAAAAAAGTTAAAGTTCTTGGAAAGGAACATTCGTATATTAAATTTTTCATGTTAAATCAACCAAAAGTGACATTTAAACTATTAATTATTAACACCCTGTATACCTCAAAAACGAAAGCACTGAAGACTGAAGACTGTTGAAGGTCGATGATTAATCGAAGCAATGCGAAAAAAAAACGTTATATTGGAATTGGAAGTTCAAAAACAACTTAATCATCTACTTGTCCAAAGTTTCAAGTAACACATACAGGGTGTTTCAGAAAGACAGGGTGATGAAGTTTTATTTACGAAATTCAAAATAAATTGTATCTACGGAGCGGGTGCAGCTACCGAGTTGAAATCTTAGAGGTTCACCAGAAACGATGAGTCCAAACAGTTTCCAGGCCCAAAACAAATCATAATGAGGTGCCATATCTTTCTTCATATGCCATATAGTGTTTCCAGTATCAGGCTTTACAATGTTTTCAGAATAGGGGAAGCTAAACCCTTTCATAAGAATATTTCAGGTTTTTGTCTTAAATGTTCAAGTCTAAATATCCCCAAGACGAGTGAACTGACAAAAATTCCTTAAAACACATAACTTGTAAAATGCACTTTTTATCTTCTAACAGGCCAGTGGCGTAGACAATATTTCTTGTTAGGTGTTGGGGTATCCCAGTTTCTACGCGTTTGGTTTAGTTTGGGCCGGAACACTCTGTGTGTGTTTCTTGTAGATGAACGTCTAAAATTTCAACTCCGTATCTTCTCCGCTTTTTAGATAACTTTTTCCCCACTTCGTAAATAAAACTTCATCACCCTATATTTCGGTAGGAGTTATTTTTGAATGTACTTTCTACCCTAAAAATATTGGCACGTCTTTGTGAAATATGCAGAAATTAATCCAAGAGTACGATGAAAAACCAATCACAAGGACCTGCTTACATCCACAGCCGGGCGACGACGAAAACAAACGGTACCGAAACGACCAAAGGATAACTCACGATAACACTGACCTGGTACGTGTAAATCTTGATTTTTCCATACCGAGATAACCAACGAAAGACGCACCAAGCGTACAACGCTCAAGCCAGAAAGCAAGCGGCACCGTCGTTACTTGTTTTTTGCATCTGTTTTTGTGAACATGTCGAATGGATACTTTAATTTATGTAAGATGCTTATACAGGGTGACTTTGAAGTTGAGTCATTAGTTTTCAGATAATGATTGTAGAAGGAAGATAAACCAAAATATGTGTGTAAAAATAAAAAAAAATAAAAAAAAAATGTTATCTTGTTTTATAAAGTATCCTCCCGACAAGTATTTCAGTGCGGACCTGTATTTGATCGTGCGGTCTTGGAGCACCGGCATGCACTCCCCTGTGAGGTCTTAAGTCACCTGATTCACGAGCCCTTTGTACCACATTAACAAAGGCACGAGGGGTTGGTTGCACTCGATTGGGAAACCGATCCGCATAAATCCGTGATGCCGCGTAAATAAGAATCATGTCCACAAGTTCAGCATTTTCGTAAACATGTGCCATTTTTGATTTCGTTTGCGCCACGCAACAGACACCACTATTCACTCACGCGTTACCGACTGACACTGACTGTATACAACTGAATAAAATAATTGTAAAAACATCGTTCCAAATTCTTTCGCTTTTTTGTTTCCGATGCGATGAACCGATAAGGCGGATTATATCCGTTGTTGCCAAACACGAGCACATAATATTATTATTGAGACAGGGCGGTACTCAAACTTCCAAAGGGCTATAACTTTGTTACTTTAATTTTACCAGAAAAATGGTAAAGGAAAAAAACATTTCTTTTGATCAGGTCTACTCACTGTTAAAATAAATGACTCAACTTCGAAGTCACCCTGTATAGAGCGTTTAAAATTCGGCGTGTATAGGAATTCGTACAAAATATTGAATATCACAACATAACGTAAGAAAATCAAACCCGAAATCAGGAGTATTGACGAAGACTGAAAAACCGAGATTCATCCTTTTTGTTTCTCACAAGATGACCTTCAGTCCTCAGTTCGATCTTTTCCAATAACTACGTTAAGTTAGCATAGATTTTAATGCTGGTTTATATCTACAAAATATTATACAGACTTTGTACTGCGGCAAAGTAATTGTGTGACAAATGAATTTTGGCATGGAGTGAGTGTCTTTGTAAACTCGAAAAACCATTCCGACATAAAAATAATTAAACCAATATTTTACATTTTTATATTTATTCAATTTGCTATCTCATCGTTACAGGAGTTGGGATATAAAATAACAAAAATACGAAAGGCCAAGAGCTGTGTGGGAGTGTGCACAAGTGAGAAGGAAACACAATTCCAAATACTTCAAAAATCTCCAGTGCTGGTCTCTTTTCCACGGTGGTTCATAGTTGGTGTATAGGTGGAAAGAAACGAAGCATCAGTTACAGGTCGGCAAATCCAGCTTGAGCCGCGAGATGCGCAGAAAACAGAGTGAGACGGTGGATGTATGAGAGAAACGGTAATAGCCGACGGACATAGAAGTACAGTCGACGCGGCAAGTTCTGTTATAGCATGCCAATTTCTGTTATTTCATTTAATTTGATGTAAGTCTACCTATTTTACTATTACAATTCGCCCTTCGTAGACAACCCTTGACTTCGCTTACCAACTACACTGAAAGAAATTTATAAAAGACATCCGAATTTGGCATTTCACTAGAACTTTACGGAAAAAATGTTGGGATGCAATTCTTTCATTAAGGGATTGATTGATTAGCTAATTGCTTGATGATCGAATATACATTGAATCTAGCTGAATAGTGGGGATAACCCTTCATAAAAAACGTGCCACAGCTCTTCTGAGCCTACTGTTTAGATCTTTTCAGAAAACAGTAAGTTGTGTACAAGGATGTTGAAACCCTATATCTTTCATAATGTCCCACAATTTATGAGATATGCCCTGCTTTAAGCTTAATTTCTCAAATAAGGAAAGAAATACCAATTCTAACTGAAAAACATAATACAAAAAAGCTTCAGGTGGGGTTTTTTAAACTTTGAAGATTCTGTTATCATTTTCGAAAATTTTAAAATGGATCAACAGTTTACTATCCAAACTATCGGTACCTTTAGAGAATTTTACACATATCTCACAGGAATGAATCTGCAAACACTTTCATTTATCATCATCAGCCTCAAAGATTGATGTCCGTCTTATCAGAACTGGTTTCGTACACTATGGAGTCTCCTACTGATTCTACACTCAAAAATTCTGGTATATGTACTTTCATTAATGGTTAAAACTATATGCAAAATTTTGTGAACGAACATAAGCATTTTAGGCAAAGTCTTCTCAAAGTAATTTATTTTTCATTGTTGCTTAAATTTTCGAATCAGCATAATAATAATAATAATCATAATAATAATAATAATCATAGTACTAATCGTAATTATATTTACTCTGTGTAAAGGAACAGCCACTCCATTTTCAGCCTCATCCTGAATGAATCTCAATACCGAGGCAACAATTTCTCGGATTTGACAACTTAAAACTTTATTTGCAACTTTACTCTTCATTTTTCAGAACCTTCGAGTATAAATTAAAACAACCTATAGCTAATGCAATTAAAATTTTTACTGAAGCTGTACCCACGTTGTTACCTCTACCGCTGCTGGTTTGTACTGGGGTGTCCCCACTATATTCCGCCGTGCCTACCGGGCATCTGACCTTGGGAGACCAAGCTAGGTTTGTCAAACTTGTATTTCAAGAGCTTCAAGAACTTCTAAATGTTATTTTTGGGCTTCCCTCATTGTGATAGTGTCGTCTTTAAAAACTCTTGAGCACATTTTTGGGTTTGCTATTAACGGGGGAATACAGAATAGAAAAACATATTCAAATAAATTAATACTTTATTGGATCCAAAATAAGTGACAGTAGATAATACATATACATTATATCTAGATCTGCATACCAATACCTATTTTGGATTCACTGTTAAATTTTTACATGATTACGTATTTTAGGCACAAAAGAAATATGTGGTTGATTCATTTGGATGAACCATCACATGTTTGT